TGCCATCTAATCCCTATACATAGCTGATTATTGCACTTTCTATTTCAATAATTTGCAATCTAGCTTGGTGAGAAAAGTGATTATGGGTAATCATTAAACAATAGATAAAGCACATTTAAAAGGGTTTGTTCAATATAATTAATTTGGTGTGCCTGAAAAAGTCAACATATTATTCATTTTTATCGGAGGTATGAAAGTGAGATACAGATTTAAACAGTAGAGAAATGTCAAAATTCCTTTTTTTTTTATCACGCGTGATGTCATGACATTTTTTTTAACCAAAATGGCCTGCAGTTGGCCATTTTGAATGCATTTGAAACCAAAGAAAACTTAGAAAGAACTCCCGTGTTCTGAAAGTATTGGAGACACATTGAAATTAATTCAAAATTTAAGATTTGCTTTTCAAATGAGAAGCTTAGCAACTAATATGTGTCTTCTATTTGAGATGCACAACTTGGAAACAATGTGATTCACACTATCAAAATTTATAATACATGTACATATAAAAAATACATTTGAATTTTCATCCATGGTATTAGTCTAATTCCAGAGCACCTCTGTGATAAATTCAATTTAAATCTGATTTTTTTAGATATTAGAAAAGGGCTAATAATAGATAATCAATATGCATGTTTATCAACATTTAACTAATCATGTCTGTGGGTTATCGCAATGAACCAAATGAATTATTATACAAATTAAGCAATTATTATGCATAGATTTAGGTTAGCATATTGTTTCAGTGCGCCAAAAAATTATGAAGTATTATGCAAATTAGGTAATTAAAATGCACTGATGTTAACCCAAAACTAATCAGGTCTGTGCATTGCCCTAGAACATCTATGTACCAAGATTCATTGAAATAGGATAATTAGTACTTACGATATCAGTGTAAAAGCCATAAATTAACTAATTATGTAAATTATTGATTATTATGCACACATTATTACTCAAAATTATTCAGGTCTCTGAATTGTTCTAGAGCATCTATCTATGAGTTGATTAATTATGCAAATTAAGTAATTATAAATATTTTAGTCTGTGCATTGTCATATGTATCTATTTAAGTTTTATTCAAATGTGCTGATTAGTACCTGAGATATCAGTTGAAAAGATGAAAAATAGACTAATCATTATGCAAATTAGGTAATTAATATGCATGGATTATCTAATCCATGCATAATCAAATCTAATCAAATCTGCGCATTGACCTTGAACATCTGTGCACCAAGTTTCATCAAAAACATTTGTATGGTTCTTGAGGTATTGGTGGAACAGTCGGACACACACACACATACATACAGACACACTAACTGCAAAGACTCCCATTGTGTGCTTCGCACACGGGAGTCAAAATCCCAGTCTTGTTATTCTTTACATGGTATCAGTAGCACAGCAGAACCTAATGTGCGAGTATCAATTTTCCAGATGAGCTTCCATTGGGAAGGCAATTCCCCTAGTTTATTGATGGCCTAGTGTGTATGCTACTTGTTAAAGACCCCATAAACTATTTGAACTCTGAGTAGAACTAATTGTTGCTACACACTTTGTTTCAGTCAACAAGTTACAGGTGTCTAATTCATACCAGTCATATCATGTTTGGGCCCTAGTAGACAGTGGCATCCCTTAGAAATAGTTGTTTTGATATGCTCCTAAAATTGTGACCATCCTTCTGAGAGTGACAGATATTGAGATGGATGGTGGCACATTCCATTCTGAGCTGATAGGTTGTTTACATGTATGACAACAGCGACTGAAATAAAGAAATCGAGCAATTGTCACTAGCTCATAAATTCAGTATTAAAGGGCGATGGTCGTTGCACTGCACATGTGCAACATTTGTGTTGATAAACATTAATTTTCCCACAATCCAATGCGCTCTTCTAATGGAAATCACAAATGCGAATTTTGACCTGGGCATGACTTGCACTAATTACCGCCGATGACTCCTTTGATACCTTTCATTCACCTAAAAAATATCTAATTAAAGCTTGGTACTCGTTGATCTGCACAACAGTCAAAGCCACCATCTTTGTTTATATGAGACCCATACTGTACATCTCGCACATGAGTGGCATGACGACTACCGCCTTTAAGCCTGTCAAGTGTTTAATCCATGACCAATTGTTACCATGTAAAGCAGCACTATCTCAGAGCATGCTTGAACTGAAATTGCTAGTGTTTAGCCTTTTAACCACCACTTTCCTCTTTTCATTACAAATTCACAAAATAGTCTAGACTTTCCTTCAGTAGATCGGGACAAAATTAGTTCCAAAATTAGGGTTCATTTTCAGAATCATTGAAGAACATTTGGGCAAGAATGTCTGGTGGTGAAAAGGTTCCATTTTATAGCGGAAACCATAGTTGAACTCACTGACTGTATCATTACAGTATCTTTTGAATCTTGTGGTGTAACTTTATTTGATGCAAAGAGAATCAATCCCTTATATCCATTTATTACCAGAGTGTACTGTCTTGTAGTATTTTATCTACCGCATAGTTAGTGTTATTCATTAAAACGTTTTGATACATGAATTGAATAATTTGTGTCTTCAGTATATTTTATCCGATAGGAAGTTACCTCTCCTCTGTCGTAATTGGGTCCTCCCATCACCCTCATGTAGTGTACAATTAAGTCTTTATCATACACGTAAGCGGAGCTAGACCTACATGTAGGTAATTTGGGAGGCAATGGTTTTGATACATCACTCAGCTACAAGTGATTTCCAACAAAATCCAAGATCCGCTCTCCAGTTCCCTAAAGAAGTTTGGGGTACTGTCTAAATATCCAGTACCACACGTAATATTACTGGGTTGTTGTGGAACATACACACCTCTGGTATTTTGTTAAGAGTTATGTATTCATTACAATCTGCACTCCAACTTTGTGGTTTTAAACTAATTTTCAAGTTGCAGCATTGTAACACAAAGCGCAGATATTAATAGGATTTTAACAGTATTGAAACATGCAATATACACATTTAAAAAAAACTCTGAGCAAATATGAATAAAGCCACTGTGGGTCATAGGTCAATATTCTGATTACTACCCAGCTGTTGGTATGGCTTCAATAATACTTCATTCAAGATTAATTACAATCTGATATTTTAAGTAATGCTGCTAAAACTACCTTGAGTCAGGCCGTGAGTCTCACTCTTAATGAATGTTTACTTTGCAATCAGAGAGCAGATAAACCTGGCATATAAGTAAGCTATACCATACCACAGTATTTTAAGGTCTATGGCTATACACAAATTTAACACATAACACAATAAGTAAATAACCAAGGTTTGTCTATGGTCAAAATAAATTATAATATACCCAAGTTTTCACTTGAGTACATGGTTTCATTCAGTTTCACGGTGGTTCTGACAAGTTTTAATACTTATTGTATAATACTTTATTTCAGATGGAATTCATTTTCGCTGAAATATCTATTTGGGTGTTTCGTATGGCGCTAATTTTCCTTGATGTTTGATATTTGATAAAGACAACACTAATTGAACATTTCATGTACACACATGTTTTTTTTTATAGTACGTTTTTTATATTGGACAACATCACAGCGTTCATGTCCGCATGGATTCAACTCATTGCAGTGAGTTAGCTTTATCAAAGGGCCAAGAAGTATGTAAAGTTGTGACTTCATACCGCCGTCAACACCTTGAGTCATGCTGTCATCACCATTTGTATCTTTAACAGTCAATCAAATACATGATGAGACAAAACATTAGTTATTCTACTTCAAAACTGCCGGCAAAGCACAATAGAATTTTTGGGAGCCATCCAACTACCTTGACTTAGCCGAAACCACGACTTACTGAGGCACGACTTAGAAAGGGGTTACTGTATTTGATTTGTGATTGAATATGGACATAAATTCAATGGAATTCAAGGAAACCTGCATAGACTTGTGATTGATGGGTGTTATCAAAAGAGATTTTTTATGTAGCGCATGGGACTTGTGGTAAATGTTTCATGAATTTCCATAAAAAAAAAATGAACATGCTTATATGGAACAGAGTGTGTAAAATTATAAAATAAATACAGAAAGTGTTTGGACTATTTTATCACTTTCACAGATTTATGTAGTAGTTTTATGTTTCAATGTTTCAACTATTTTTTGATGAGGTGGTCATTAACCTTTAAAAGGTTCTGTGAGACATCATGTGACATAACACAATGTTATGTTTGACAGGCATTGTCACTGGTTTCAATTAATATTGCTTTTAAGTTGTCCAATTTACCGGTATACATGTATTTGAAAATCTTTTTTGGCCTTTTGAAAAATATGTAACTTTTAATAAATGTAGGCACTATAAAATCAAAAATGCGAAACACAGTAAAAGGTGAATAAACTCATTATGAAAATATAAGTGGCAGGTGAAAACATTGAGCTCAACTTTAATCCCATTTTCGAGGCTTGCTCTCATAAATGTAAAATTCATTCGTTTATGTTCGGAAGTTTTAAAATTACAAATGCCCTGAATGACAAAAAGTCTTGTCAATAAATCAGTCAAAGAAAATGCCAGTCTTTATATACCATGAAGCAATAAAAAAGAACAAAATGAAGGGTTATGTGAGCCTATGTTAGACAAGGGTGTATTATTGAATGGTTTGACGTCTGAAGTTGATCAATAGATTTAACACGGCAAGTGCATTAATGTTGGCAATATTCAGAATTATAGTAGTTGTAGAGAGATCAAACATGCATCATCACGGATCAGTGAGTGTTTCTTCATCACAATGATCTTTCGATTGCACCGAGACTTCGGTCTAGTTCCTCTTTTTTGAAGAAAATATACCGCAGACTCAAACATGAATTATATGCGAATGTGTATCGGGCACAGACAAATATAGAAATTGGAGACAATAGAAGCGATGAACGGCATAAACATGACAGGTAATCAAAACAATAAACAAAACGATCATTCATCAGTCAAAATACGATCATTCAATAAAAGATTGAAAAGAAAAGTCCCCAAAGACGAGTTTCTTACTTGATCCTGCTACTGCATTGTCGCTCGATTCTACACCACCGTCACTTCGGTCTTGTGATGAACTTACACATCCTCCCATGGTGGTTCGGGAGGTCAATTTAAAAAATGTCACCAATTATTTTTATTTGGTGTCATTTATCCACTGTATATTATCTGTGTTGACGCCGATCGGCAGTACCAAGTCGCTGGCCATACGGTGACGTCAGGTTTAAATGCCCTTAACTCTAGAAATAAAATCACTCAATATGAAAACATTTCGAGTATATTTAGAAAAAGTAAAACGTTTTATCTATGACTCAACATAACAGTAAAATATCATAACTTTGAGTGTACCGAAGCAAATATGTTAAATTTGTATATTCATTTGTTCGGATTTATTCTAAAGGAAAGTCAACGTACCAATTTCCTTCAAGCTGCGTGGTTCTAAAAGATCTTCCAAGCAATCGCACAAACACGTTATATCGAAGCAGGTGATTGGATTCTTGAAACTGGACTGGTTGTTACGAGTGATGTCATTGGCGAATGTCCGTGCCGGGTAGAGATATAGATTGCTTGATATTCTGTGATTAAGAACAGATATGGTTAAAGTATTACATGTTTTCGATAGTTGGATATATAAGTACGCTTCTCATTAAACAGTTCAATGCACTGTCATTGAAACGTGAATGTAAATATATTCCAAAAACGCGCAAGTCCTCACGGGAGTTTTAAACTCAAATAACATTCATCCAAAATGGCGACTTCCATGTGTATCGAGATCGTCGAAAACTATGTTAGAGGGGAGGATGAAAGTGGT